CTAGACCTTGTCAAAATATTATAGAGGAAGCGCACTTGCATGATCTTGTTCAAGTTTGATATTTTACAACATAAAATGTGTAGCTGGGTACTGTATCCTTTTTTGAGGCAGTCACACACATCTATGATAAGTACTATCATAGTTCTAGGCCTACCTATTCATTTTACAAAACTGCTCCTGTACCTTATCTGATGACAAGGTAATGCATCCGCCTATTCATACGTGCATGATTTACCTTGTTTCCCAAGCAGTAAACTTGTCTTAAATCTCTACCAAATAGGTGAATGTGAGGATATAAAAAGAAATTAGTGACTGGAAATGTTGCTTTGATATTCTTCATTCAAATGAAAACAGAAAATCCATGAAATATACTCATTTACAACAACAAATCTAAGCTCTGACAAGATAGCATTTACGTAGGGATATCACTGCCATTCACTCTCACTGAGCTCATGAATCCCGTTCGTGACGTCAGGGATAGAGGCCCGACTCTACATGCACTTCCGGGTTTCAGACTTAGATAGTTTGGTAGAGTTTACCCGCATAAATTCACTATTCTAAACTTGTTTTTGTCAGTTGGACACCATTTAGTGTTATTCTGGGGGTTAAAAGCTTTCTATTGATGTAATTATCTCAATATTTGGGATTGTCTCAGAATATCAACTTTAAGCATCACAAAATGTCTCTTCCTCATGGAAACTCTGAAGGGTTCCATCTTCGTCAAAGTTTGCCGAGCTCAGTGAGGTCATTGTTGCCTGATGTCACATTTGGTGAAAATATCTTGTCAAATCTTCATCAACGATTTCCTTGATATCTTGATGAATAAGATTGTTTAGCAAAATTGGTATTTAAGAACACAAAATGTCAAAATTATTAAAAATTAGAATGTCATCGCTTAATAATAGAGATACACGTAGAACCATATCTCAAGGATATTGAGCTGCTTGATAATGGGGCTTTGTAAATTTATGACCTAACTGTTACTTAATAGTAGTATAATTCATGAATCATATAACTTTTATGAGAACGTGCCACATGTACCTCTTTTGAACAAGTCATTTTGATCAATACCAAAATGAATGGGGGGGGGGGGGGACTTGTAAAATGTATGAACTTATGAAGGAACATGTTTATGAGGGAAGTCCACCATTGTGTGTACATGCATGTGTAATTACTCAGATTTGTTTTTTATTCATTCCTCTCACATGATACGCCCCTTATACTCCTCTAATACTCCCCTTATACTCCTCTAATACTCCAGGGGGGTGTTTCACAAAGATCCTAAGTAGAACTTAACTCTAAGTTGGACTTAAAAATTATGGAAAGCCATTAGCATCTTTGAAAATATTTGGTAAAAATATTTTTGAAAGGCATAAAATGTTTATTCAAATCATTCATATTTTCTATCATTAAGGAGATTTCATATTCTTGTTGTGGAATTTATAAAATGTCTAAAATACTTGAATTTCTGCTTTTGAGTATATTTCATTTTAAGGCTCCAATAGCTGTCCATAATTTTTAAGTCAAACTTAGTGTTAAGTTCTACTTAGGATCTTTGTGAAACACCCCCCAGGGCCGGTATTCAATTCAATACTTAAGTACAAAATGTACGCTTTTTACTTACATGTACATGTACAGTACATGTAGTACTTGGTTTAATACTTAGCCTATTTTTGTATTCAATTCAGTCTTTTGGCCAAGTATAATTTTACCCTAAATTTAAGTCAGCTCCCTACCAGACTTGGAGGCCTTGATTGGCAGGTATATGGTTTTCTTACGCAGTATTATAACCTGCGCACAATTATATTAGCGCGCATTTATTGCAACGCATTGATTGCGCATTACTTTTGATTGACCGTGTAATGTCACAATGCTTATTAGCTAGTATTTTACTTAGATTTTGTCTTACATAAGTGTAAGTCTTTAATGCGATTTGAATACGAGATAAGTCAGTTACTTGACTTAGCCAATTTACTTAGTAAACTAGCAGGACCCGCGGAAATCCGCGGGATTCTAGAGGGGGGCGGGGGGTGTAAATAGATATATAGAGACTGTCTAAATTAAAACCACCAAGAACTTTATTTGCCATTCAGGCCATTCAAAAAATATACATGTTTAGCGTCCCCGCCCGCTTCCTTTTTGGGGGCCACCTCCTATATTTTTTTTTTTTTTTAAACAGCTTCCCCGCCCGTTTCCTTTTTGGGGGCCGCCTCCTATTTTTTTTTTTTTGAAATTTTTTTGAATTTTTTTTATTTTTTTAAATTTTTTTATAGAAAAAAAACAGCGTCCCAACCCGCTTCCTTTCTGGGGGCCACCTCTCCTATTTTTTTTTTTTTTTTTGAATTTTTTTTTTGATTTTTTTTTTTTTTTTTTTTTTTTTTTTAAGAAAAAAAACATGAAAAGCACTGCTAAAATGTATTTCTGATTTTAAAAAACGAAAAGAAAAAAATTGTCGGCTGCCATCTTGAAAAATAGCCTGAATGTCAGGGAAAATGTACGGAGCAGCCATTTGAAAGAAAAAAAAAAAAAAAGAAAAAAAAAGGGCCTCGATCCTCCTTCCCATTTTTCAGAAAAAACAGGACGCTAAACATGTTTTTTTTTAAATTTGGCCTTATATAAAAAAAATAAAAAAAACGATCCAACTGTACCGGTAGTTATTCTTTAAGCCACTGGAACTGCGTAGAGTTCCGTAGTGTGGCGTACCGACTACGCAGAAATTAGGCTGCGTATTAATGGGAAAATAGTCCCTGCGTAGGTTATGCGTAGGCTGGCGTACAGGTTTGCTTATATGGTTGCTTACTGTGTGGAAAGCTTTTACTGCTTTGACGATCTGGCGTAGGGTAGCATAGTGTTGCGTAAAAAGGCGTACTTTCTGCGTCAAGTTTCTACGCTGAAAGTACGCGAAAAAAATTAAACATGTTGACTTGTTTTCGTTCATCTTGCGTACCCCTTTCTGTCCCTCAGCATATAGTAACGTAGGCCAGCGTAGTTGGTAGCAACACTACGCAACTCTACGTATTGACCCCACGCCAATTAGTGACCCGCAAGTGTCACAAATAAAGTATTAAAAATATGCTCATCTGACCCTAATTAAACGCCTAAAACCCCCGAGCTTTCGGGGGTTTATGGCCCCTTGAAACCCGTGGACCCCACGCCTATATTGTATATACACTCAACTCGCTGCGATCTGATCTCTCCCCCCCCCCCCCAACTTTGAAGAACGTAACCCCTGAGCTTTTGGGGGTTTATGGCCCCTTGAAACAAATATACACTCAACTCAGGGTTTCAGGTTTCCTTCTTCATAATTGCCTATTTAAAAAAAAAAAACATTTTTCTAGTTCAATAACTAAGTTTTCATGCATTGATTTGATGCAAGAACTGTAACATAATAGACCCTAGATTGTGATTATTTCTGACCATAAATTTCGATAATTATTTTTCAAAGTAAAATTTTCACAAGAAAATCAGACAGTCGTTTAAAAACGTAGACATTAGTAATACTTTTACTAATTCTAAGCTCAGGTTTCGTAAATCTATTCACGAAACTATATTGAAATCGCGGCAATAATGATGCAAACCAACAGATAACAATTTCAAAGTGTCAAATCTCTTCGACTCGAGCTCAGCTCAGCTCTACTCACACACATAACACTCCAGCGTAACTCCACGAAGCTCAAACACAGGCGCCGCAGGCCTCGGACGCCTGCGGTGCCCGGTGCCGGTGTTGGAGATTCCTCGAGTTACTGCACTGTGATGTGTGGTGACTGAAGTTAGCTTGCGACTGAATTGTCAGTCCAATGGTTTTCTTGTCAAAACTTTCCCTTTAGAAAATGATAATCAAAATTGAGTACACATGGCCGTAATAATCACAAAATAAGCTTTGATTTCATACCTCCATTCACGAAAACTATATAAAAATCGCGGCAATCATGATGGAAATAGGTCTCTAAGTTTGGACGTCGACGGGAAGCCCCGTGTATCTCTTGTGCAGCTACTACATGCAAATCCATGCAAAGCACATCCTAGCTACAACAAAGCACATCCTATAGAAAGATGCTTTACTCTCGGTAATCCCGCCCTTTGCATAGAGCATTTAATACGCAACTTAATGTGAGTGGATAGTCATCGGTCGTGTGTCTACGGATGTCATGTTGAATATCCATGAGGTATCTCTGTCGTCACGCATATCCTGCATTATGCATGTCGCGTCTGTTTTCGCCCTGGACGTCGACACGGAGGAGGATTTCGGGCGGAGTATAGCCAATTCGCTAGAGTAGACTCTCCCGCGGACGATGGCACCGGGCACGGGTACCCCGAGGGGAGGGTTCAGGAGGAGATAGCTGCACCAACTTCGGTCGGCGATCTCATTAAAAAACAATAGAATACAAAGGCTCGCCGAGACGTCGCGCCCCCCGCGGAGCCTTAGCGTATTATTATTATAGATTTCTTACTTATGCTAAGTATTGAATTGAATACCAGCCCAGACTCTCATTCGTTCCCAAAGTATGGGCTGTATTGGCTCATACAGTATGAGCCAAGCAGGACCTTTATATGTGAAGGTTAATGAATTAATATTCAAACCTTGGGTTTGCTACGAGTTTATACTTGTACAGTATGATTGATCAAAAACCAAACCAAACGAACTGCTGATCTGCCATATAGTTAAAGTGCAGTAAATATGAATGATAAATCAATCACAATCATTTCAGGATGCCAGTTTTCAGGCAATAGCCTGAATTCAGGCCCTGGGGAGTTATTTTCAGACCATAATTTAGGCTGTTTTGTGTGCAAAATAGCTCATTCTAGGTGATTGTCAGGCCCTCTGATCAATTCTAACTGGCATCCCTGTCATTTGTAAATGCAGAGTACATACCGTATGCGTGTACATGTATGAAATGTCTAGATATTCCTGTCTGAACAGTTGGTAGGAGTTAGAATGTATAATGCTGATTTCACATGGCTGAGATTGTGTTTTTTCTTCTCATATCTTCCCTTTCTAGCTAGCAGCACCTGATATTTTTCGCGGTGAGAGATTGATGAGAACTCCAGATGGGTTCTGAGAGAGTCAGGGATGTCATTATTGTAGGAGCTGGGATCAGCGGTAAGACATTGCCTTCTATCTTAAACCCGTTGCCTACCGGAACTGAGTGGATCCTGTGTTGATCCTATGAGGAATATAAGAACTGAGTAGTCCATGGGTTCACCCCTTTTCAAATTTTTGAAAGCCTTCAAGAAGTAATTAGTTTGAATCATTTTTTTTCACCTTTTTTGTAGAAGGTGATATACATAATGATAGATGTACACGTACATATGGAGCAGTCGCTTTGGGGATATGACATAACCTTTAAAAACAATATGTCCTTTTGCAAGGCATTGATCTACATTTGCCACTTCATATCCAGGAGAGAAATGTGGACCTGGAAGTATGAAGAAAGCACTTGTGTTCAAGTTCAAGTTTTATTTCTATTTTCAACAAGAAAAACACAAATTATGTCCAATAAATACATGTACATAAATTACAAACACCATTTTACAAAGTATACAAAAGCATTATACAAGTGTACTGTACATGTTATTTTTATTTGCATAACAAAAGGTATTATTTATATAATTCATAATTTAGTTACAAGGAATTATACGATTATCATATTATACAATCTAAATCAATTAGTAATTGCCATATGCCTTCACTGTAACCAGATGGTAGGAGAACTCCCCACTAATGGTACACAAATGTGCTTAAAGATGAAGTTGAGTTCTGGTCATGCGATTGCATTGTGAAAGAAACGGTGTGGAATCGATCAGAAAAGATTGATCATCAAGCATATAAGAATTTGTGTGTATTACAAAGTTCTGGAATGATCAAAATGATCAGAAGTTTGGCCAAGTCTTGGTAAAGTTACAAACACTGTACACAGAAAGATGTATATGGGACTACACAAACACGTGGCGTAAAAATCCTACCCCCCCCCCCCCCGAGTTTTACGATGTTATTTACATATTTGGAATACAGTATGAAGGCATTTGAAGAGCCATGCTTTTCAGGGAACATGTCTTATCTGATGTTCTTCCACACTTCCACACTTGCATACATGATAACGCTCACAAATTATTTTTCACCTCTTCCCAGAACTCAACCTTCTCTTTATTAAGTGATTCTAACGACCAGGGTAATAATTTCTATAAAGCACTTAGAAACAGCATTTTGTATTAAGAGCCACATGTATATCAATGCTGTTATTTATTATTATGAGATAATGAAGCGGATCCTATTAAATGATATATTTTGCCTAGCACATCATTTTAGTAATGACAATTCATTGGTAAATACTAATGAAAATTCATTAACACATCATGTTATAAAGCATCATTTTATAAAACAAATAATACACATAATTTTGTTCGGGCATTAGTAAAATTACCCAAACTCTGTACCTTCAAAACAGTCCAAACACCTGAGGCGATATGTATATCGTATTATGAGGCTTGAACAGCATACTGGTAGCAAGATATATGTAACATTTCTGAATCAAAGGTGTTTATTTTCTCACAAGCTAGAACAAAACGAGACATAAATCTTAGAAACCTATTCTAATTATCATGTACATGTACATGTAGGCACGCTTTTAAAGATTTTTTTGCAGTGAATTTCTACATTGTACAGTGTAACAAAACAAAAATTTGGTATCAAAGAGAGGAATGTAACTAAAATTTTCTCCATTTCATTTAATTTCATTTTATTCTTACCCAAATTGTCTTGTGCAGAAGTCATCTTTTATTTATTGCAAAAATGATTTATCAGTCTAATGGCTCAAAGAAATCAAGTGTTGTCTTGTTTCTTCAGAAATTATCAGATTTCTGTTGATATCCCAGAAAAATTTACAAAGTGAAAGGTAAAATGAGAAATTTGTTGAAACTTTAATTATCAACTCTCTGAAGGGGATCAAATACCAAGACATTCCCAAAATAGAATATGCCATGCTATTAAAGTACATAGATCCTGTAATATATACATGTACTCTATATTAAAAGTACATTGTTTCTGTAATCCATACCCCCACTGTAACCTGAACCATACATCATCTTTTTAAAGGTCTATCAGCTGCCAAGCTCTTACATGAATCTGGCCAAGATGTACTGGTACTGGAGGCCAATGATCGAGTCGGAGGGCGTACATGCAATTTCTATGTAAGTGGAGAGTACCAATGTTAAGAATCTGAGGAATATTGAGGTATAAAATGTGATTTTCGATGTGAGACTCATCTTCTATGATAGACACTGTAACATGAATTCTCATGCACCATTGTCAGGAGGGTTTATTAGATAACATGAAATACATAAACAGCATGCGCCTCAGTTGAATTATTGTTTCATTGAATTGTTACAACTCTCTTCGCCTTTAATATGAGCTAACATTCACAACATAACAGTAATATGAGTGACTCGGCAAAGAAAAGAAAGAGGAAAGGAAGGGATCGATGGTACCAGACAAATCATAAACCAAATAATAACCTGCAAATTGCAAAAACCTCCTCTTTTTTTTTTCCTTTAGATGTTTTTTTTTTTGAGTGACGAACTATAAGATCGAACTAAACATGTGATAATTTTTTTCCCTCACCTTATTGTCCCTCGCCCCAACCGGCCCCACTGGCCCCACCTTGTTTTAAAAACTTCAGAACAAAATCCTGGATATCCCCAATCATTTGCAACCAACTGATAAATTAATACACTGTATGTAGACAAAACCCTGTCTGCTCATTGGACGACACCTGTGAATTGTTCAAATAATACAAAGCGGGATCATGGAGATGAAAAAAATGATGAGCTGGCAACTTGTTTCTCAAATCAGTATGCAACTATGTATGCATGTCAAATTTAATTTAAAGGTACTATGTCCCATTTGCAGGCCAAAAAAATGAAAAAGTTAAATTCCAACTGCATTTGAAAGATAATAATCATTTAGAACTTCCCTAAAAAAAGTGGGTCTTGAAAATGTCTTCAAGTGGGAAAATAATGACTATTAGTTGTCAAATCGACTTTAGGGCTATAGAGCCCAAAAGTAATAGTCTCGATTTTCAGACAATTGTACCGAATGGTCATACATGTTCGTTTTATGCTGCGCAAAGATTCAATCAGTTTAATCTTGGCCATCACAAGAAGTGGGTTATTATTGTAGACAAATGCTCATGTACCCTTTACAACTCTTTTCATGTATGTTATTACCAAAGAAGAAAAAAAGCCAGTCAGTCACTCAATAGTGTCTGACAGTGAAGTCTAGCAAGTAAACAGGTTTCCTTGCATAATTTGAATATGAGGACACTGCTAACGTTTAAATTTCACAGATAGGACATATATGACATATTCATAATTCCTGCAAAGTTCTACAGCATTTGAGGTTGGCTGCAAAAGGGACATAGTTACCTTTAATGCTGTTACATGTGATCCAACCTTGTACCCTGTAACCATCAATCTTTATTGATTTGTGAACTGTGCTTGTTCATCTGGAATCGATGAAATTACTGTGAGATTCACAGCTCAAGGTCATGGTGAATGTCAAAAGATGCTGGCTGTAATAACACCAATGTCCCGGGGAGATGCACACTTGTGTAAACAGCTAGAAGTCATTACATGCATCTTGAAAATTGAATAGGAATATATATTATTGTCACAGGAACTGCTATAGGAATGGATGATTGTCATTTGAGATTCGTTGGGTGTGTGGTATATTTTCACTGTTCTCTGATTGTCTGTTTTGTTTTCTCTCTCTCTCTTTCTCTCTCTCTCTCTCTCTCTCTCTCTCTCTTTCTCTCATACATGTACAATTGTTTATACAGTGCGTCCCAGAAAAAAAAAAAAAGGAGAATTATTGATCAATGTTTTATCATAACTTAATCACAATTATGATAAATAAATGATACATAATTATTTGTAAAGCTTAGATCCTCCTCTTTCATTTGATGCTACTCATATGATGCATATTTCCCCTTTAAGCAAGAAAAAACATCATGCCAGTTTTCAAAAACAACAGCGTAAAAGCATCCACTAACAAGCTGTTGATGGACTGGTTCACCATTTTGTTCACTTTTTAACATTTTCCATCTTTGATTGGCCATATTATTCCTTCCTACATGGATCTTCTTCAGCTAAAAAAAACATCCCTGGAAGTGACCGCACATGTATACATTTAATGTACACTGTGGGTGACCCAGTTCGGAAAATTGATTTTCTCTGTCTCTCATTGTGTTAAATTTGAGCCAACAGCCTTTCAACGACAATAATGTTATCCCTTCTTCTTGTTGTTATTAAAAAGAGTTAAATATTGTCACACAAATGCACCAACATCCACTAGGGCCATCCGATATAAAGCTTACATGAAAGTAATTAAATACATAAGCAGTACTGCTGGCTTCATTAATCATCAAGAAGATTTGAATAACACATGAATGCAGCAGAATAAACTACTATACAGGTAAATGAGAGGGCATATAAAACAAAAAGTCACTGTTCAAATCAAATATTGAATCAGTCTCGTGATGTCCATGGTTCTATGATTTCTGCAGAGAATAATCATTAGGACAAATGTACAGGTCAAAGTACAAGTACAATGTACTTAAATGTGTCTTTTCCTTGTGTGTTTCCAGCTCGTTATCCATATATCCAGAACTTTGGATTGGATTGGAACCAAGCAAATATCTAGGGGACTGACTAGAAGGGGGGTGGGGGGGGGGGGGGGATCCATCTCTTCAAAAGATGATTTGTGTACAGCTTCAGGTAGTACAAGCCTGTATTTCACGAACAAATGTAGCTTCATTCATACAACTAATAAATTTATATTCATCCATTTTTAATCCAACCCATTAACAAAAATCATTTTCATCTTCATGAACAATTTTGAATTTTCAGGATACAGTATAAAATCAACCCAAAGACCATATCCAACAAAGATAAATCTCCAAGTGGAATACTAAAAAGAAGTTCTTTCTTGATAACTGCCAACTGTACACATTTTCCTTCAGATTTATTGAGAGAAAAAATGTGCACAAATTAGACACATTCAATGCAACTTGAAATATATCTTTATCTTTTACAATAACCTACCAATAATCAAATAGTTTGATACTGCCAGTATGAACTGCATGCTTCCTGACCTGCTTGTACATGTATGTACGGCTATGTACGTTTGCTTTACATGATAGAAAAGTCAGGCCTGATAATTACCCGATTTAAATCAGTTTCCCGATTTAAAAAAAAATTGTTACAGATTTTTCCCTGATTTGTTTTTTTCTTCCCTATTTTTTTTAATGATTATTATTATTATTTTTTTTAATCATTTTTTTTTCTTTCCAATTTTTTCCCAATTTTTCCCTTATTTTTTCTATTCTTCCCTATTTTTCCCAATTTTTTTACCAAAAAAGGGGGAATGTTGTTCGATGGCATTTTTACCTGCATATTCCCTTCTTCTTTTTTTTTTTTACTCAAGGGGGCGTGGTAGAGGGAAAAAAAACCCTATTTTTATTTAGTGCTCACTATCACCCCTGAAAAGTGTGCACTAAAGATTGGGTAAGGGAAATATATCAGTAAGTTGACTATTAGGTTGTTCTCATCAAGAGTACATAATTATGATGCCCTGCATTTTATATAAAGTGCACCTGTCCATGAAGCTATTATCTGTGGAGTGTGACATGCACAAAAAGTACCAGTATAAGAATTAGGTGGTTATTAAAGTGCTCTTGACTATGACACTACAGTAGGCCTGTCTTCATCAGCTCAAGTTTGCCAAATAACCCACTATTTTCAGATTCGGGATATTATCCCTAAACTCGAAATCGTCTTCACCAGACCGATACGCTCATCACAAACTAGCTTGGACGGTGCGCAAATTAGCCTGCTATTTCCCAAATAGCCGGATATTTTGGAAACAATTAAGACCAATATTTCTCAGGATATTTTTCTTGACCAAATATTCCCCTAATTGCAACTGCGGGCTGATGAAGGCGCAAATTAACTGGCTAATTTGCCAATGGGACTGTTAAAATAGCAGGATTTTGGCAAACTCGAGCTAATGAAGACAGGCCTACTGTGAAGGTCAATAACCACAGATGATTGATTGGTCAGACTTGGCACTCTGCACTAATCTTGGATTTTGGTGGAGAGGAAGAATGAATGGATTACCCCGATGGGTCTCTCTGTGTTAACCATGGGCGCGTTCATGCTTGATTTTGACGGCCAGAATCAGGCATCTGTTACGCGTTTAGTTTAAAACACGGTTGCGTCTTAGCTCACTTTTGTAGAATCACCGAAAAACGGCGATCACGATCGCCGATCGTAAACTCACAAAAAGATGCGTTTACAATTTGTAAACGCGTTTAAATGGGGTCAACGCACTGACCTCTAGTGGGTCTACGTAGCATGCACAGTGAAGGTTTGCGAATCCAGCTGGAAGACCAATTAAGGCCACACACTGAGAATTGCCTGGGGGAGCCAGAGAAGTAAGCATGAACACTACATCGTGGAACTGCGATCACGATGAGCGTTTACGATGAGCGTTTCAGATCGCTCATTCTGCCTTCAAAATTTAAGCATGAACGCAGCCAATGTCCACCGTACCTCCCTGCAAATTTCCAATCCCAGTTAAAATGTTACGAATCTGGCCGGTTCTTCATATTATATTCCCTAACATTGATTCAAGCCGCCGAAGATAGCGTTATTGAAAACAATCTCATATAACGTTCACCAGCCCAGTATGGCGTCCTAATTTAATGATCACAGTCAATTTTTAACACTCTCCCAAATTCCTGTCTTCAACCCTGGACAAAACAATGTATCTGTCCCTTGCTCTATTTAAACACTGCCATTTCTAAATGGTCTGGCTACATGTAAGGCACTTGCTCTGAGGAGATTTTTGTTTGTTTGAGGATTGTTTTACTTTGACCCGACTGCAAAGAAATCCTGTATATGCTTGTTAGTATTAAAGCAACCATATATACATGTATATATCAAAGATAACACTTTTTCTAACATTATTCTTTGGCAATATACAAACCCGAGCAAATGCCACTGGAGTAAAGGTTTTTTCACCCTCGGTACTGAAATACTTTTGAATATTTGTTTGCAGTAATTGTCTAAAATTCAAATATATTTGTTGTCATTCTAAGGTGAATGTGGATGAAATACAATGTATATCTGTTTATATTTTTCTTCTTGACATTATTAGGACAAGGCCATAGACTACACGGATATAGGCGGGGCTTACATGGGACCAACTCAGGATCGCGTCTACAGACTATCTCAAGAATTGGGTGTGGACAACTTCCGTTGCTTTGATGAAGGCACAGCCATTGCATACAACCGGGTAAAGAGGAAATCATATGCATTACTACATGTATCGTTGTTTGAGCTATCAAGTTTGAAGAACGTATTTAAATAAACAGTTTAGCAAATGATTTTTAGCATAAAGAATTACATTATATACATGTATTTCTAGACAAAACATGATTTCTGCAAAATGTTTTCACAGAGATGAGCCATTTATACCCATAACGATATCAATTATATCAGTCATAAAGGGATATCCCTGATAGGTACATCGGTAGCCTTTTATCACGATGGTCCTTACTACTTCACTATAAATTGTGGTTGTGAATACATCTGTACCCCTGTGATTGGCAGATAGCAAGATAAAACTAGAAGTCTGTAGATTTCCATAGTCCTTAATAAAAATCCAAACATGAATTAACATATCTCACTTATTTTAACGAATTGAGTTGGTAGACAGTCATGCACTGTATATTCATGATTATGTTTGCTGTTGGGAAACCACAAGCAAACCTGCCCAAATGTGTGGTAGTAGCAGTTTGCCTTTTCTGCATGAAGTGACAATCCTGATCAGTTCTACTGGGAACTGAATACACGGGTTTTATTACAGTTTTTTTCACAGAAAATCGAAGAAAGGCAGTATTTTGAGTCGGAAAACTTCAATCCCAGTTCACAATTGGCTTTAGGCAGTCCTCAGTAAATTTAAAACAATGAGTGGCAATCATTATTCAGCGCATATTCAACATTCTCATAGTCACAGTGAAGGCATGGGTCCACATGATGAAAAGCTAATAAAATGGTGGCTCTGCAAAGAACACATGTATGATACTAATCCAATTGATGAGAGTAGAAATCAGAGTATGGGAAATCTTTCCCTAGCATGCTCTTAAACTGAAGTTTTCCTTTTTTTTTTTACGGTATCTCTGTATGTTGACATGTATTTGTCATTTTTTAATGAAAAAACAGGGTAGATGGCGCACGTTGACAGGTCTATATCCTGACACATGGAACCCCTTCGTTAACATGGACCTCAACCATTTCTGGCACTTAGTTGATGAGATGGGGAATAAGGTAAGAATTGGTTCTCACATTACAACCTTCTCAGTCCCACCAACCCATCTACAAGTTGGTAGTGATGGGTATGAGGTCTTTATACATGGAATTGGTTTATACACGTAGAGTGAAACATGTTCAGAATGATCAAACATATCCCCTGGGGGGTGTTTCACAAAGATCCTAAGTTGAACTTATCTCAATTAGTTGGACTTGAAAAATATGGAAAGCCATTAGCATCTTTGAAAATATTTTGTAAAAGTAATTTTGAAAGGCATTCATTGTTTATTGAAATCATTCATATTTTCTATCATCAAGGAGATTTCATGTTCTGGATGTGGAATTAATAAAAAGTCTAAAATACTTGAATTTCTGCTTTTGAATATATTTCATTTAAAGACTCCAATGGCTGTCCATAATTTTTAAGTCCAACTTAGAGTTAAGTTCTACTTAGGATCTTTGTGAAACACCCCCCTGGAGTATTAAACTTGAACGAGAACAGCAAAGGACAATACCACTGAGGACACATTTCCCCAAAGGCAATTTTCTTCAAGGACAACTACATGTAACTGTTAACAACTATCGTTAATATAAGTCGAATCTATGATAATAGTGAATCCCAGATGATTGAATCTTTAATTAGCTTTTTACTCTATACTTGTAATCTGTTCAGATTCCAATGGATCATCCTTGGGACTTTCCTGAAGCGGAGGAATGGGACAGTATGACGGTCAAGGAATGGGCCGAGAAGACATTCTGGTTTCAACTGACCAGAGACTTCATTGCTGTCCAGAGTGCTCTTGGGTTCTGTGCTGAGGATAAGGACATGTCTCTCCTGTACTTCCTCTGGTATATCAAAGGAGGCTGTGGTAAGTTTGCTTGGGTGAGCTGGATTGAACTAGATTGATCTAGATTGAACCGGATTGAACTGGATTGAACTGGATTGGGCTAGAGTGAATCTTACTTTATTCTTGTAGGTAATAGCATACAGGTGCATGTAATAGCTGGATAAAATAGATATGAAGTAGACTAGTTCAAGCTGGATTGAATCTGATCTATTTTGGGGGCATTAGCTTAGTAAACCGGATTGAACTAGATTATACTGATTTAAAAAGGTAAAGACCAGTTCTGGTCATGCGATTGCATTGTGAAAGAAACGTTGTGGAATCGATCAGAAAAATTGATCTTTTAGCATATATATATATATATATATCAATCAGTAGGCAGTTTCCCAGCAAAATTTGTATCATCACGTTGTCACGTGAGTGACTTTTTAAAAATTTGTATTACTGCTACGGACACACAGAATAAAGGGAAATAAAGCTTGTTAAAATAAAGTTAAATTGTAACGTTTAATTTCCAATCATTTTTCCTGTTTCACACACTTTGTTTTGGCTTAAGTAAAAATACAGTAGGTAATTAAACTTATCTTTAACAAAATAATTCTGGATGGGTAGTTTCCCGTCTGACATCGATGCCGGTCACAGCTCGTCTCGTCCACTTGGCCCTGGCCTCCGCAGACGGCGTCTTTGCTCCACTTGGCCCCATTTCCCTACCTAAAGTAGAAAACTCTTTAATTTGCTTGGAACTAACCATAGCAACTAAACATCGATTCCAAAACTACAAAAACCTAGGCTTTAACACCGGCAACAAATGCCAAACCCCTTTGTGACTTTTCGACAAGCACACTAGAATGTATCTCCCAATGAGCATACAATTAATTCAACCATGCGAAACACCGGTCCGCTCACACCAGACAATTAACCCCTAGTGCCTTCTAACAAGCACACTAGAATTTCTCCTAACGAGAACACAAAATTCAACCATGCGAAAACACCGGTCAACTTCACAACATGAACATTCAAAGCCTATAGTAGTTCAAACCTGGAATCTCTAATCAAGCCAAATACCATGAACAATGCACAACCCGCCTAAGTACTACCCTAGTCTATAGGCGTTACCAAGGGCTTAACCTTGGGGAGAATCCACTATAAAACTCTTGACATTATTGCTTTTATCAACCTAGCATTGATAATTTCTTTTAACCTGTATTTCAACCCCAAACATCAATTACACATCAAATTCGTATGCGGGGAAAAGAGGGGGAGAAATATCTAATTCCCTTTTTGGAATTATTTATCAATAGCAAGGTCTCGGTGGGACCTCCAAATTGTCACGTGAGTGACTTTTTTATATTTTTTATTACTGCTACGGACACACAGAATAAAGGGAAATAAAGCTTGTTAAAATAAAGTTAAATTGTAACGTTTAATTTCCAATCATTTTTCCTGTTTCACACACTTTGTTTTGGCTTAAGTAAAAGTACAGTAGGTATAAATTAAACTTATCTTTAACAAAATAATTCTGGATGGATAGTTTCCCGTCTGACATCGATGCCGGTCACAGCTTGTCTTGTCCACTTGGCCCTGGCCTCCGCAGACGGCGTCTTTGCTCCACTTGGCCCTGGTAGTCGCCCCGGATTCTTGACCTCCGCAGACTGAGATACGATGGTGTGCGTCCCGATCCCAGACAAGAGCTAGCCCCCGACGAAAGCTATGGAGAACCGGGTGGCAGTTGAGCTAGCCTCTCGTCCCGACATGGAATTACCCTCAGATATTGACTTTAATTGCCGACTTCTAACATGACGTTCAGTCTATTATAGCTTAGGTGGTTCTCCTCGATTGCAGAAAATCCACCTCTTAATATACCCTACGGTTACTAAGTAAATTCTAAAAACATGACTACAAATATTTGGAGAGGAAATCATCTTACAAAGGAAAATACTTGTATTGAAAAGAGGCTTCCTAAATGTGTGCCAAACAACAGATAAAACATGTACACGTACCGGAGTGTTGGCTCAGTCAGTAGAGCGTCCGCCTCACAACCGGGAGGTCGTGGGTTCGAACCCCGGCCGCGTCATACCAAAAGACGTTAAAAGATGGGAGTTGTTGCTACCTTGTTTGGCGTTCAACAATAAGGGATAGAGCAACGTCGATCTGGCGCTGCTCAGTGGCTGCCGGGCTCACGATCAATTGGGCAAAAAGAATTTCCGTTTCGGTTTAATAAAATTTGGAGTGGACTATTAGGCTATTATTATATTATTATATATTATAAATAAATTTCTTTCCTGACACACGTATTAGTCAAAACATATTCTTTCACATGATTGCTAATAAGAGCTTCTTTTTCATTTTTTGAGAGGGGGGCGTTTCCAAAACTGGTCTTTACCTTTAAAGAGAAGGTTGAGTTCTGGGAAGAGGTGAAAAATAATTTGTGAGCGTTATCATTCTTATAATGCAAGTGTGGAAGAACATCAGATAAAACATGTTCCCTGAAAAGCATGGCTCTTCAAATGCCTTCATATTCTAAATATGTCATGTAACATCGTAAAAATCCGGGTAGGATTTTTACGCCACGTGTTCGTGTAGTCCCATATACATTTTTCTGTGTACAGTGTTTGTAACTTTGCCAAGATTTGGCCAAATTTCTTATCATTTTGATGATTCCAGAACCTTGCAATACACACAAATTCTTATATGCTAGATGCATGATCAACCTTTTCTGGTCGATTCCGCACCGTTTCTTTCACAATGCAATCGCATGACCAGAACTCGACTTCTTCTTTAAGCTTGATTGCTTAGGTAATTTAACTGATTTATTCTCCTAGATGTGTTAGCTTGTTTAACGAGGCTATAATCACTGCCTTGTGCTGAATTGTACAATACTAATTAGTTTACATTTGATTGAATGAAAGTCTATTGCCTTGGATCTAGTTGGTTTAGGGCTGAACATTCTGAATGATGCTGAATGAAATTTGCTGAAAATGCTTTTGGAATATCTTCCTTTGGGCTTCTGCTTGCATTATTTGTTTCTTTGTCATTTACAAACTATTGCTCCTTCCCCTTTTTATTTACTTTTATCCATTTCAATTGTCAACAGGTTATTTGAGATTTTCAGCAACAGAGAATGGTGCTCAGGTATGTGTACCGGTATATCTATAAAAAGTAAAACTGATGAGACAAGTAGAGAGTTAGTTCCTTCTTCACAATCAGTATTAAAACAATTGTTAAATAAATAATTTTCAATGTTGCATCACTCTTCGGTAACTTCATAAGTGTTTACACATTGTGTGTTAATCTATATACCTCTATCCGTTTAACTCTCTGAACTAGGCTTGTAGCTATAGAAAAAACTGATTAGATATGTTTTCTTTTTCATTCTTTTAGTATAGTGTCATATGTTAGTGCCGTAAAATAACGTAGGAGATTTCAAACATTGCCAAGCAGGAATTAAATTTACAATCATTCAAAAGTTTTGATTTGATGACCTATTGACCTATTGATGCTATGCCATTTTAGCAGTGTCACAAGCAAAATCCTGAATATTTGCTCTACCATCTCTAAAGTATTCGAGCCACTCAGAAATAGTAACAAAGATTTTGTATGTTTATTTCTTTCCAGGAAAGGAAGTTTGTTGGAGGCAGTCACAGAATCAGTCTCACAATGGCAGAACGGCTCGGTGAAGGTAAGGATGAGAGAGTTCTCATTAGGCCTGTCCTCATCAGCTCGAGTTTGCCACATAACCCACTATTTTCAGACTCGGGATATTATCCGAAGCTCAACATTGCGTCTTCACCAGACCGATACGCTCATCACGAACTAGCTCGGACGGGCGCAAATTAGCCCGCTATTTCCCAAATAGCGGGATATTTTGGAAACAAGACCAAGACTTCTCAGGATATTTTCTCGACCAAATATCCCGCTAATTTCAACCGCGGGCTGATGAAGAATAATTTGTGATCGGGATAGTTAAAATAGCAGGTTATTTGGCAAACTCGAGCTGGTGAAGACAGGTCTATAGTTGAGTGGTTTACCGTACTCATTACTGCAGATGCAAAGGTCGCGGATCCAAGACCCATGAGGCACTAGCGTCCTTTTGCAAGATTATTAATCTACACTTGCCACTCTCCACCCAGATGTAAAACTGGTACCTGGTAGGAAAGAATTGAGTGAATACTTTGAGTTACACATGTAAATGATCCAGTTCTAGATGTATTGAACAATATGCTTTAATGTTATATAAGTTATCGGCTACAACTTACATTTTCAGATTATTTCTCAGTTGCTTACCATCCCTTTCAAACCGGCAGGGAAAATGATGTAGAATCCAATAATAACAGAGTATGAACTCAAGAAGAGCACTATTAAGTATACTATTACAGAACAATCATTCTCCACCATTGAATTTCCACTCAGATGATTTATTCAAATATTACATTTTTTTTCTTTTTCTTAGATATTGTATTTATTATAAATTGTAAATTGTTAATACTATGGCAAGTAATTGCAAAGATCTTATGTTACAAATCCTAGATTACTGTAGCATTATGATATTTTGTTCATTGATTTTCCCAAAATCTGTCTGTATTGTTTTTTGAACTTATACTGCATGGCATGAGTTTTATGAATAAATGATTAAAAAAAATCAACTTAGTGTAAACAAAAGACACAGACTGAAATAACTTAATATTACTGTACATGTATATTTGACTTTGTTGATATGACTTTATTCAATCAGTGATTTTTTTATTTTTGTAGAACGAGTCTTGTTGAGTAAACCAGTGGCTCATATAGCCCAGGACGCAGAGTGTGTAACAGTTACTACGGCAACAGGCGATATCTACAAGGTGATTATCATTCATACATGTGATGTGTATATGGTATAAATAATTGACTTGACTTGTTTCTGCAGTAAGCCAGCTCATAGATACAATCTGCGCATGGATGGATAAATGTTATCTGTACCAAAATTGTGAAATCCATCGAGAGGAGTAATGGATTCATGCTCATGAAAGTTGTGTAATCGTTATTCATATGTTCACTAAGTGATGGTACATTCTTTGATACACAGGTGGAAGTATTATTCTCAAGAGGGCAAACAATAGGTATTCATGAAGCACCTCTAGTCACTTTGGCAGTAATTATTTTAAAATGTGCAAAGTGGGATGTCTCCATGTGCAAAAGATCTATGGAAATTTAGGGACATTTGTACCATATCCTATCTATGAACTGGTCTATTTAGGCAGTTTTTTAAAGTAATATTCATCATATACAATATGAAAGTCAGCAAAATGTAGACTGTATGATTATGTATCAAGTCTTTGTAATTTCACAAATATTCCAGAGTTGTAATAAATGATGAAATTTTCAGAACCTTTCATTTCCTGAGTAATGTTAATTTTTAAGAATTTAAAGAACATTAAATTTAAAGATAATCATTAAAAGTAGAAGAAATGGTTTGACTAGTCATCAAATGCTCATTTATTAATATACATTTTTATTTTCTTCAATGTTTTTGCTTTATCTAGAATTCCTAATAATCATCAGCTCATAAGTACATCCAAAATGTTGAGATGCAATGAATTTCTTTCATTTTGGAACTTAGCTTTTGAATTTGCTGGTAATCCCATTATATATTTCATTCTGTTTTGGGACCTTGCTCTAACAAGCCCAGCTTCTATAGGTCTCCTCTTTCTTTCATGTTCAGAACATGATCTTAGAGAAGTGACTTTTTATAGAATTTCTTTAGTTAATAACAAGAGTTGTATGTTGAATATTACTATTGCACTTCAAATTATGTTAGTTATTCCTGTTACTACTTTTTTTGAAATCCTATAAACAGATGTTTGTGAAAGAAAAAATAAAATGAAGTAAATGAACTGAATTGAGCGTAATATAGTGTTTGATGCAGGGCATGGGATGGTATTAATTATATTTTTTTTATCCTTTTATTTCAGGCCAAGTATATAATAGCAGCTCTTCCTCCTGCCATGCACAATAAGATTGCATTCACTCCTAATCTACCATCACTCAGACATCAGGTAAGCTTCAAACATCCCGTATCTTTAGTAATGACACATCCATGGATGAGTTTGACACCAGGGAGTGTTTCGCAAAGACTCAGATCGACTTTAAAGATAAAGACTAGTTATGGTCATATGATTGCATTGTGAAATAAAGGTTGTGGAATCGATCAGAAAAGGTTGATCATCTAGCATATAAGAATTGGTGTGAACTGCAAGGTTCTGGAATCATCAAAATGATAAAAAATTTGGCCCCTATACAACTAATGGCAAAATATTGGTCATATTGGATTGGTCTTGAGTTGTTTTGGCAGAGTGACTGATGTAACAGTTGAATACTTTACTTTCTTAGTTTTTGTCTCGCCTGCGTAGCAAAAAGCGAGACATAGGCGCCGCTTTTCCGGTGACGGCGACGACGGCGACGGCGGCGTCAACATCAAAAACTTAACCTAAGGTTAAGTTTTTGAAATTTTGATATAATTTTAAAAGTATAAGTTCTTAGTCAATGAAACTTTGACTATAGGGTAATCAAGTATCCCCAATCATGTGAGTAGAATTTCCGATCACAAAGTCAAGGTCAAAGGTCATTTCAGGTCAACAGACTTGGACTATGTTGTAGCATCATCATCGAAAACTTAACTTAATGTTAAGTTTTTGAATTTTTGATATAATTTTGAAAGTATAAGTTCTTAGTCAATGAAACTTGGACTATAGGGTTATCAAGTCGCCCCAATTATGTGAGTAGAATTTCAGGTCACTAAGTTAAGGTCAAAGGTCATTTAAGGTCAACAAACTTAGACTTTGTTGTGGCATCAACATCAAGATTTTCAAAATGCTTCTTCTTCGTTATTTTTCAACCGATTTTGATTCTGATTGTTTCATATGATAGAGCCAGGAAAGGGATTTATAATTTCTACACAGAATCGTGAAATTCATTATCTATGCTAATTTATGCAAATTTATTCGAAATCACAAAAAAGTCTTCTTCTCCTTCATTTCTCGACCGATTTTGATTTGGTTTGCTTTATATCGTACAACTAACTTTGGTACACTAAATTTCTACACAGAATTTTGAAATTGTTCTCCATTAATTAATTATGGTAATTTATGCAAATTTATTCCAAAAATAACTAAAATTGCTTCTTTTCCCTCATTTCTTGACCGATTTGATTTGGTTTGCCTTATCTGGTAGAGCTAAATTTGGCACACTAAATTTCTACACAGATTTGTGAGATTTTGCTCCATTGATTATTTATGGTACTTTATGCAAATGAAATGGAATTACTTCCCTTCCAGGGCATCAAATTTTTTAATTTTTTGACCAGTACAAAAGTGTACTACATAAAATTTACGATATTTGTTGTTGCGAGATGCGGATGAGCGCTACGTCATTGACGTTCTGGTTTATCATATTGAATTGCGTTATGCAGGCGAGACCGCCGAGAGCGTTTCCCTTGTTTAATATATGTATACAAAGCGAGAGAACATTAAACCCTGTGAAGAGTTGGAGTTAGCTATGGACCCTGAATTTTTAAGAAGCCATACTCAGAATGGTGCTTATGAAGTATCGGCTTGCATGGTGATGTAGATTGTGGATATGCAGTAGGCTTACGGATGCACCATGTTGCACACACACAAGAAAGATTACCAACAGTCCTTTTTCAGGACTCCCCAATCCTCCCCCCCCCCCCCCCTCCCTCTTACATGGTGCAACTGTAAGCCTACTGTACATACTCAGAATGTTGAATTTTTAGCAATTATTAGTCGCCAATAATTTGGGTTATGGCTGAATGGCACATGTGTGAATGTTTAACAAATGGAATTTTCCATGAAATCAAATTTGTGTACATAAATCTCAAAAAAGACAAACTGGGAAAACCTTGAAGGATATGTTACCGGTACATGTAGTCTCTTTTCTTTGTTGTCAATGTTTTTGTTTCTTTGTTTTTTTATTTTTCAAATTTTCTGTCCATCTCATCTAAATGATTTATTTTGCAATAGATACATATCTAATGGACTTTATGTCACACCTTTCTCCTTTTTTCCCCTGCAGCTGAACCAAAGGTATCCAATGGGGTCTGTGATTAAGACTATGATGTACTATGAGCGGCCTTTCTGGAGAGATTCTAGTGAGTTTTGTTTTCCTGAGTGCAATTTTTTTCTGCTTAGGAGATTAATCAAACCTATCTTAGTTGCCACCTCTCTACAGTTTGAGTCAAATAAAGGTTTACATCTAGAAAATTGCTAATTTAAAAAAAAAAAATCATCAATGAACATCAAATCATTATATATCTTATGAAAGAGTGTTTTATCCCAAATCACCATATATCATTTTGTGTGGTATGTGTTCACACTTGGATGAACAGGAGGCATTGTTTGCGAGAGTGCAAAAAACGACTTGCGCCAATGTTGCTTATGTGATGTTTGAATAAAACAATTTGGATTTGGTATTAATTCGATCTTTGCAGATCCAAATAACATCCCTAACAAAATGAATCATGCCACACATATCAAAGAACATTTGTGTGCGTGTGTGTTTGTGTGTGTGACTTTGCTTCTGCAAATCTCATATATAATGCATTTCATTTGATACATTCATTCTCTCACTCCGCTAATCCCAACATAATACATACTGTAGGCCTCACTTTGGCGCAAGTCGATTTTTGCACTCTCGCTAACAATGCCTTCTGTTTATTTACTGTTCGTAGATGATTTTTAAAATAATTAGCAATTTTCAAGGTGTAAACTTTTTTTTGACTCACACGGTATAAAGGCAAACTATATTGCCTCCTCCTAGAAAGTGTGTTGCAGAACCTGTCTAGAAAGGTCACCTGTCGATAGTGGCCAGAATGCCTGGGGCTTTTGTATGGCCTTTATGGACAGGTTTCACTGTATACTGAAACAATACATGTACATTGAGACATCCACATTACAGCACTTAAACAAGTCAAGCAATTTCTGACAGATCAGAAGCGAATCCTCAATTCATAAAATCTGATTTGGTGATGTTTGTTTATGTACACAAAATGTCAGAAGTTTCCATTTTCTTAGTTGTTGATGAAGGAATAGATATGTTTCTTACAGAGGTTGTGTAAACACATATTTACATATGACTATATGTAAGGTGCATATATGATTTTATATCTTTAGAGAAAATAGAAATATTTAAATTTTTCTGTACAGAGCGAATGGGACTGGACTTTGAAAGATGCATCACAGAGTTACGAGTTGTGTGTGATTGCTTTCAACTTTAAAAATTCATAACTTTTTTATTATTTTTATCAAATTTTGCTCCAACATTCATATATCTGTTTCTCTGATATATTTCTGCTTTTATTAAAGATAAAGACCAGTAATGGTCATGCGATTGCATTGTGAAAGAAACGTTGTGGAATCGATCAGAAAAGGTTGATCATCTAACATATAAGTATTGGTGTGTACTGCAAGGTTCTGGAATCATCAAAATGATAAGAAATTTGGCCCAGTCTTCGTAAAGTTACAAGCACTGTACACCAAAAGATGTATATGGGACTACGCACACATGCGCAACACGTGCGTTTATCTCTCACTGTCCAATGGATAAACTAATTTACCAAATATATCAATTAGTAGGTGGTTTCCCAACAAAATATGTATCATCATGTATTAGTCAAAACATCTTCTTTCACATGATTGGTAATAAAAAGCTTCCATTTCAATTTTTAAACTTGGGGCGTTTCCAATTCTGGTCTTTACCTTTAAATCGAACGTCGAGGTGGACTTTCCCTTTAAAGGGTACCTAATGCCCCATCCAAAAAGAAGAAAAAAATGATAATAATTTAGGTATAGTTAAATGAAATGATTGGTCAACAGCAGGCATGTGCAATTTTCTTACTAAGAATAAAAATCATGCAATAATTTCCAGTACATGGTTTATTTTTCAGCGATAATGACAAGAAACAATCTTAATTTGTTTTGTTTACATCAAATAACAAGGATCCAGGAGTTTCGTTGTGTAATGCATATTTTCATTCATTCAATACAGGATCTATCCCCTCTAGTTGAGGCTGTATTTGTTTTCTGTCCTCAGCCTGACGGCTTTGTACGATAGGTGCGTACAGCCTCAACTCGAGTGCAGATAGAGCGTATAATGGACTCCGACTCGCATGCATCATTTGTGTAGTAATCTCTAATTTGTGTTTTCGTTGTAGATTATTCCGGCCTGATTTTGGCTGATGGAATTATATGTGGGACACAGGATGATTGCAAGCCAGGCAGCAAGTATCCTGCTATCATTGGGTAACTAGGATGAACTTAACCTTTCAGATGTTACCAAGGTTTCGAACAATAGAGTACCAAAGTGCTATTATTAAACATCATATTTGCTCATGGTCCAGATAACTGGTTCCAAACAACAGAGCCTGCGCATGAGGTTCACTGCAAAATCATTCAAGCAACAGTCTTGACCAGGGCAAATTTGGTGTTTGGGGACGGTGTGAACCAGCAAATTTGAAAACTTTCCTAATATGACGTCACACTTCAGTATTCTATAAAGTAAACTTTTAGTTGTTGAAATTGTAACTCATCATACTTTTTCCATTGGTCATTGTTGAATTTGGTAAAAATGTCTTCACAGTGAGTGCAACCATTTCTGGAAGGGTCATTATACATGTACCTGACAGTTTTCATAATACAATTTATTTAGCCTCTGTCAAGAAGACTTTATCTACAAAGGAAATGATAGGATCTGATTATACTATAATTGCTTTCAAATCCAAGGTGTGTGATGACTTTTTAGATACTGTTATATGAAACTACCATGCCTTGTACTGATTGAAAAGAAAATTGATAAATTGAAGCAGATTTTACTAAAAATCTGTATGCCTATATTGCAAATTTGATCAAATGGACACAACAGGGGTTGAAGCTGAAAGTTGTAGGTACTCTGGGATGTTCATTGTAGCCTGGTTATAAAACACCTCCAAAAAAAATCCTGTACTTAGGAAAGCTTTTTCATTAGGATGGCGACAAAGCACAAAACTTCTGAAAAAGAATAGAACGATTAGCATGTCTGCATATCGCAATCAAATAAACCTCTACAGATGGCAGAGGTGTGTAGGTCACCTGTGATGAATTCATTTTCCCCTCCCAGGTATATGAGAGAGCCATATTATTATTATTGTTTATATCTTTTTATTTATTTATTTATTTATTTATTCATTTGTTAATTAATTAATTAATTTGATTAATCTTATGGGGGTTCCCTGCACCACAGGCTTCATAAAATACACACTCTACAGTCATACATGCATGTGTGCATGTATTTGATTTGTTTATTTATATCCTTCCCTTTCTTATTCAATCCCCCCCCCCCCTGATTTCATAGATTTGTGGCAGGAGATGCAGCCAGAGAGAACTGTCATCTAACCAAAGAAGAAAGGTGAGTGAGTTATGTACATGTAAATTGCTCTTTGTATCTTTGCCCTGTTTTTGATAGAAGAATAAAATGTATAATAGCTTATAAATCCTGACGAGTCTGGCGGTGGGACAATATGTCATTGCAGAGATGGTCTCGGGGCTGATCGCAAGCTGAAGACAAGAAGATCACCAAGGAGGTGATTAATTGCTTTATATCCCACATTGTAATAATTTTTTAATAAGAAGCTGAACGATGAACAGAGAATTCAACACTAGCGAGCTCTTCCTTCTTGGGCATGGTCGCACATTTGACTGTGCGTTGACCTACATGTATATCACAATAACCTATGCATCTTTTGCAAAACCATGGTCAATCAGCTCCTAGCGAGTTTGTGTATGCGACATCAGCAAAAAAAGACTATCACATATGTGATAGTTTTTATTATACAACTCACTCCTAGATCCTAATCATGCGCGGTCACGTGTGATTCATTTACTGAGACTATCCCACGTTTTTCATGCAATAGTTTCCAGTACTATCCAACGATTTGTAAGTACATGTACATGATGCGCAGTAGTGCACGCAGTGCGCGTATATAGAGGTTAGAGCACTTATATTGTGTGTGGGCCTATTCTTGCGCAGCACTATGAGTAAATGTGTATAGAGGTAAAGTGCGCTTATCACTGTTTGCGCACTAAGCTAAGACTATTTGACTTGAGATATATTCGTCAGCCATATACTGTCACAAAACAATCTTGAATGAATTCTTTTAACATCAAATAACAAGGATCTAGGAGTTTTGTAGTAAAAAACAAATGATGCATGTTTTCATTCATTCATTATACGATCTACCCGCCCTTGTTGAGGCTGTGGGGTAAAAACACACAGCCTCAACTCGAGTGTGGATAGATGGTATAATGAACTCATGCGCATGCATCATTTGTATACTATCACTACGACCGTCGGGATATGCAATCTATAATTTGCAGATGACCTCATTTAGACCTATTGTGTTACAATACTGGGTATGATGCTGCTTGTAAGTGTCGGCTTGCATGGTGATGGAGATATACAGTAGGCTTGCGGGTGCACCATGTGTGAGAGAGAGAGAGGGGGTTGAGGAGTCCTGAAAAGGACTCTGACTCGGAAATCTTTCTTGGGGGTGTGTAGTCCTGAAAAGCGCTATAGTTCTCCTTAGAACTATAAGCTAAGAAAGATATTAACAAACAGTCCTTTTACTGAGTCAGAGTCCTTTTCAGGACTCCTCAAACCTCTCTCTCTCTCTCACGCATGGTGCACCCGCAAGCCTACTGTATAAATACTGGGTATGTGGGATATAATAATCATTAACTAACATCTGCAACTATTATTGCAGGGGTCGTTACGGCAGCATTGTTTATATTTAGTTATGATTAACCTGATGTGCATGAGTTTTCCCAAATAGTCTTTTCTTTAATTATTCTATTACAGAAAGTATATACATGTATATAAATGTTAAACAATGTTATATTAACCTGTCTGATACAATTTGATTTTGATAGGACAGTCTTAATCCCACATTTTCTCTCAAAATTTAGGATTCAAGGGATTCTAAATTAGAATTCCTTTCTTCTCCATTGAACTTACTCTCATTTCTCTTGTTCTTTCCTTCAGGAGAGATATGATTGCCAGTCGGTATGCAACACTATTTAAGAACGATGCTGCACTGCAGGTAAGAGTCAAAACAGAGGTCCTACATTTCCTCCAAGCTTTTATTTTATCCTAATTATAGAGTTAAGATAAGGCTGGATAAAGGCTGTTATAGGTTACATGTTCACTGCCCTCCAAGTGGTTAGGTACAGATGTCATCAGAATGGAACTTTCTCAGATTTTCTCACCCAGATGTTATGGATCATCAGATTGTTAGCACTGCAACAATTTGATATCAAACTGAAGAGTAGACATCAGCCTTCAAGTGAACTCCAGTATAACAATTGTAATGCATTTCAGGAGGCAGTCATTTGTTCAAAAGGCAACCCACCCCCAGCAAATTAGGTGTAGTGTTGAGTCCAGGTTTGAAGTTAAGAATGTGGTTAGTGCATGACATTACCACAGAGCAATTGTTGCAGGAGCACGTGTCGTACAACCCAAACTTCAAACTAAGTAATTGATTGACTTTGCATATGTCACGTTTCTTATATATTTTGTTAGTGTATGCATTAATCTTACACCAAGTACTGCCATATACAGTCAAACCTGCATTAGCGACCATCTGTATAGAAAGACCACCTGTCTACAAAGACCACAATTTTAGTTTCCCTTGAAAATGGTTTCTCATTGAAACATGTACTGAAGGAACCTATACATGAAGACCACCTACCCTTGTGTGGTCTTTATAGACAGGCTGTATTAGGCTTATTATTGTATTTTGTTTTTCAACAGCCTGTTTTCTACGTTGAGAAGAACTGGATGGAAGAGCCCTACATTGGAGGAGGCTATGTAGGCTTCACTCCTCCTGGGGTTATCACCAAGTACTGCAAGTAAGGGCATTTTTGTTTCTCTCTTTCTTTAAAAAAAAATGTATTACTAAACTTGTTTCCTCTCAATGGTTTCGTTTTTAAATGCTCAAAGAAATAAAGTGGGAACAGTTAACTAATTAATAATGTAATCTGTTAAAATAATACGTAGACAAAAATCTCAAAGAGTTATTATATATTGACAACTTTGAATGTAACTGTTTCATTTTTAAGATTGAGGCGATTTGTTTTTCTTGCTTTTCACAGTGTGAGTATTCACAGTAAAGGCATATATTACAGGATTAATTAATACTTTTAGGTTTTTGTCTCGCCTGCGTAGCAAAAAGCGAGACATAGGCGCCGCTTTTCCGGTGACGGCGACGGCAGCGGCGTCAACATCAAAAAATTAACCTAAGGTTAAGTTTTTGAATTTTTGATATAATTTTGAAAGTATAAGTTCTTAGTCAATGAAACTTGGACTATAGGGTTATCAAGTCTCCCCAATCATGTGAGTAGAATTTCAGATCACTAAGTTTAGGTCAAAGGTCATTTAAGGTCAACAAACTTAGACTTTGTTGTGGCATCAACATCAAAATTTTCAAAATGCTTCTTCTTCGTTATTTTTCAACCGCTTTTGATTCTGATTGTTTCATATGATAGGGCTAGGAGGGGGATTTGAAATTTCTACACAGAATCGTGAAATTCATTATCTATGCTAATTTATGCAAATTTATTTGAAATCACAAAAAAGGCTTCTTCTCCTTCATTTCTTGACCGATTTTGATTTGGTTTGCTTTATATCGTAGAGCTAACTTTGGTACACTAAAATTCTACACAAAATTTTGAAATTGTTCTCCATTAATTAATTATGGTACTTTATGCAAATGAAATGAAATTATTTCCCTTCCAGGGCATCAAATTTTTATTTTTTGACCACTTCAAAAGTGTACCACATAGAATTTACGATATTTGTTGTTGCGAGATGCGGATGAGCGCTACGTCATTGATGTTCTGGTTTATCATATTGAATTACGTTATGCAGGCGAGACCGCCGAGAGAACGTTTCCCTTGTTTTGAATTAATATTGTGCCTGTAGGAAAATGTTCATCCATGTTTTGATTGATGTGTGAGATATAACTATGATTCCTATAGAGATTATACTAAATTTACCCATGTATTTCACTTGAAGGGTTCTACGAGAGCCGATAGGTCGTCTTTACTTTGCTGGTACGGAGACGGCTACCAAGTGGTCTGGATACATGGATGGAGCAATCCAGGCAGGAGAGAGGGCTGCAAGAGAGGTAAGCCCAAGCATTGTGTGGTTTGTTCTGCTCGGGATGGTGTTGATGACGGTGATGGTTGTGGTGATAGTGATGGTGTTGATGGATGTGATAACGCTGATAGACATTGTGCAGATTAGGATAAAGGTGGTGAATCATAGTAGTAACTATGTTGATGATGATCGTGGTGGAGATGATGGTGGGGATGGCGATGGTGATGATGATGATGACAGTGATTGCTGTGATTTTGTTGGATGTGATAATGCTGATAGAGATTGTGCTGGTTAGGATAAAGGTGGTGAATCGTAGTAGTAATTATGTTGATGGTGATCGTGGTGGAGATGATGGTGTTGATGTGGGTGACAATGATGGAGGTGACGACAGTGATCGTTGTGATGGTGTTGGATGTGATAATGCTGATAGAGATAGTGCTGGTTAGAATGAAGGGTGGTGGTAATGATGTTGATGGTAGTGATGTTGGTGAGGATAATAGTGACGGTGGTATTGATGTTCATACATGTAGTTGTGACAGTAATAGTGGTGGTGATGGAGATGATGAGGGTGGTGATAATAGTGATGGCGGTGTTGATGGTGGTACATGTAGTTGTGACAGTAATGGTGGTTGTGATTGAGATGAGGATTATAATGTAATCTTTCTAATGACTTCATTATGAGGTACTGCTTTTGGAATGGTTAGCAAATACTATATCAAGACCATCCAAATTTGCAGATGTTTAACAGTTGACTGGGAAACTACTAATTGTAGGGGTGGAAATCTGGATAACTGATGACACTTTCTATCACATTTCTCTCTCTCTCTCTCTCTCTCTCTCTCTATCTCTCTATCTCTCTCTCCCTCCCTCCCCTCTCTCTCTCTTTCTCTCTCCCTCATTGTCTCTCTCTTTTCTTCAATATCTCTATATCATTGCTCTTTATATTTTCTATGTCTGTCCCTCTCCCTGTTCCTTCCTCTCTCCCTTCCTCTTACCTTTCCTCTATCATTCCATTCCCCTCTTTCTCTCTCATTCTCTCTCTCTTTCCTCTCCCCTCTCTCTCTCTCTCTCTCTCCCCCCCCCCCCCCCTCTCTCTCTCTCTCTCTCTCTCCCCCTCTCTCTCTCTCTCTCTCTCTCTCTCCCCCCTCTCTCTCTCTCTCTCTCTCTCTCTCCTCCCCTCTCTCTCTCTCTCTCCCCCCCCCTCTCTCTCTCTCTACCATTCTCTCATTAGATACTGCATGCCATGGGCAGGATTCCAAAGGATGATATATGGCAGGAAGAGCCAGAATCCAAGGTAAGAATTTTTTCACATTAGACTATTATTCTCCCATGCAATCATACAAGTATTTCATTACCAATCTCATCTTCACCCTTGTTTAAAGGTATAGACCAGTTTTGGAAATGCCCCCTCTCAAAAAGGAAATGAAAGCTCTTATTACCAATCATGTGAAAGAATATGTTTTGACTAATACGTGATGATACAAATTTTGCCTGGAAACCCCATACTAATTGATATATTTGGTAAATTATTTATCTATATTATCCATCCAGACTGGATAGATATAGCGTAGTCCCATATACATCTTTCTGTGAGAGTGCTTGTAACTTTACCAAGACTGGGCCAAATTTCGTATCATTTCGATGATTCCAGAACCTTGCAGTACACACCAATGCTTAAATGCTAGATGATTAACCTTTTCTGATCCATTTCACAATGTTTCTTTGACAATGCAATCGCATGAACAGAACTGGTCTATACCTTTAAAAATATAAAAAATTAGAGGTTTTTTTTTTTGAGCGATAGAAGATAACACATACCGTAACCAGGCAGACTCAGGTAGCACTCTCCCAATCACGTTCTCTTGAAACTGGTCCACATTCTGGACAATCAGTCACCTACCGATCAGTCCCTGAGTTGCTCACACAATTGTATGGAGTTATATGAATACCACAAATTGCTCAGGAGTTCAATAAATGGCACATTAAATCTATAGGTAATAAGAAATCTTTTATTCACATTGTTCTAAAGCTAAACTTCCCTTCATAGCAGCTCATCATGGACTGCCATTCAAAATGCATTGATACAGAACCATCACAGTAAACAAAAACATCACCCTCTTAAGTTCCAGGGCTAAACTCAAAAGTCAAAACTCAATTTCACTCCTGAACCACTATTTGACAATACATGTAAATTCAAAGCCAATGCGTGTGAAAAAAATTGTCACCTTGTCTAGAGCTTGGTAAAGAATTAATAATGACTTACCTGAAGTAGCATCTCTTGATAACTTTAATAAAAATGAATTGCATGTTGTTGTTTTTTTCTTTCTCAGGACATGCCAGCTCTGCCATTTGAGGAAACCTTCTTAGAGAGAAACCTTCCTTCTGTGAGTGGCTTTCTCAGGTTTGTTGGAAGGTCTCTTGTTCTCTCTGCAGTGGGTGGGGCTCTTTGGCTCAAGAAGGATATGATTCAGAGCTTCATCAACAAGTAGGATGGCAGTCTGACAGCTATTTCAGACAGCCTTATGATGCAGACTCATCAATTCTCTACCTGGGGAAGAATATGACATGGCATCGTCATGAACAGAAGCATATTAAGACCCATTCCAAGTAATGTTTGAACACTTGATTTGTTTATATGGGACTATTTTGAACCAATGATAATGTGCATTTAGATTATAATAAGTCTCAAAATAAGCCATCTACTTAATTAACAAAGTTTGTGTGGATGTTTTATCAGGATACACATTCCCACTAACAGTTAATTTAGTTTGTTTGCCTCCGTTACGAAGTAGACAGAGGCATTATGTTTTCGGGTTGTCCGCCGTCCGTCCGTACATCTGTACGTCTCGTTCTCGTGATCGCGTTATCTCAAGAACCAATTAATGGATTCCTACCAAACTTTAGTCTAATATGTATCTTGCAGAGCCAATGAATTGATTAGATTTTGGGGTCATGAGGTCAAAGGTCACAGGGCTCATTATGTATGCAAACATAGCTTGTGATCGCATTATCATTAGAAGAGATGGACGGATTACCATCAAACTCAAAACCTGTATTTATCTTGCAGAACCAATGAACTGAGTAGATTTCAGGTTCATGAGGTTAAAGGTCGAAGGTCATGGGGCTCATTATGTATGCAAAAATAGCTTGTGAACGCATTCTCATTAGAACTGACAGATGGATTACTATCAAACTCAGGACATGTATGTATCTTGCAGAGCCAATTAACTGATTAGATTTTAGGGTCATGAAGTCAAAGATCAAAGGGTCATACATGTATATGAAAAAAAGCTTGTAATCATGATATTCTGAGAACCTGTTAATGGTTTACAATCGAAGTTCAATTTTAAAAATTGCTTCTATTTTGGTTTGTAAAATCACTCGGGTGGTGGCATCATTTTTGATTGCGCGCACTCGAAGGTCCATCTAGTTATACACGGTTTAAGGACTTTGAATTTAATCTAAATTCACAAGATCATCTACATGTAAATGTACAGTCTTTCAATCAAATTATACATCTACACTTTCTTTGCATGTGGCTTTAATGTGCTCTTATGTGCCTCTTCTATTACATGTAGGTGATGATGGTAAAGACAAATTATTTACAGCCAGCTCTATATTTACTTTATGCAAATTTAATTGTAAAAGAACAAATCTAGCTCGCTTATACACTAATTTCAAGTTTATAATTAAAAGACATAAACTTATACAAACAAAAGTTGAATTTGGTCAGATGAAAAGGCCAATTTATATGTACCCGTATGCATCAGGAAATACCAGTTGTTGGTACGGTTCCTGCATTTCAAAGTACTAGTGAAAGGCAAGTGACCTATCACATTTTTGTTTCTCTCTTAATTTTTGCTCTGATCTGTTGCCTTTAATTGTATTAAACAGCCTTGATATGTAACCTTTTGATCATATGCTGTAATAATCTGGCAGGTAATTTGAAGTCAGAAATTAGTGTTTTATATGAATTTTTATATCGATGTTATCTCTTATAATTGTTGACATTGATCATGATGTACATTTATAGCAATGAAACAAAGTATTTTGATTATTAATATATTAGTTGTTATTGAGGGGTATAATCTCTAGATTCATATGGAGCTATTTTCTGTTAACTAATATTTTCAGAAAATATATATATATATGTATATATCAGGGATAGATTGTGATAGATATAATGATTTAGATTAATACAGGGTTTATCTACATGTATGTGGATGCATCAATATTGTTTAATGGAAGGTAGACAGAGGAATAGTCTGGTGGGCTTAATGCTCATTTACATATCACGTGGTAAACCACCACGAGAAAAAAATACAGCGTTTCCTTTCGAGTGTGAATGAATGGCGAATACGTACAACACAGGACCTGCACATGTTCACTGAGCTCTGTGTTATAAGATACAGAAATGTGGGGCACATTACGCTTAAAGGTAATACAAAGTTTTGGTATGGGGTCATGAATTTAGATCATATCAACCAATTGGAAGCATATACGATCCTACAATATTCAGTGATCATTGTCGCGGTTGAAATCGAGTCTAAAGTTATGAAATTGTAAATAATAAACTCTTTACGTTGTATAGTTACCTCTCAAGGTCAAGATATTAATTAAGCTATGAAACAAGGTTTCTTGACTAAAATTGACCGATTAGCTAATCCTGTTTGGAAATTATATATCACAACTAAATATTCTGAGATTTTCATGGTCGCAGCTACCATTGTACGCTCGTAGGCGCTATTTGAAATTTTTCAGAATTTCCCGGGAGGACCAGTAAATTTTTATATTCAATTTTTCTCGAAAGCAGAAGTGTTTTAGGGGCTAAATTTTTTAATGCTTATAAAACATCCACAGGGTCATCCAAATATATCAAAATTAGAAAAGAATCACTATCCACCCGATTTTCAAAATTTCCCAAAACTTTGTAATACCTTTAACGTCATATCTGAACGGGGCCTTACAGTTTTGTGTGATCTGTTTTGAGAAACTTTGTTTATTCTTGCAGTAACAACAAAGATTTAGATAATCTTGAAAGAGACCAAATACCAAGGAGAATTATACTTCTTTACTTTTGGGACACAAAACTATCAAATACAGTACCTTGAACTTGTCTGTCTGTCTTCATCTTTCTAGAGCTTAGATACAAAAAGACAGAATATAAAATCTCATCTGTGTTATTCCTTTTGCTTGCATCTATCAGTATTTCATTTGATTCCATGATACGAAATAGAATATACAGATCAAACTCAAACGAATGCTGATGTTTTTAATTGCAATATATATTTTTTAAATCAACCATATTTGCTTTTAGATTTTTGCATAATCTTCTTTTATTTCTTTTGGCATTGGATCTATCAATCTTGTTTTGGGAGAATTTTTGTTATAATTTATGTGATTATCATTTGGTGCATTAAGTTTTTTAAACATTCAATCACACTTGGTTTTAATTGGGTGCAGTTATAGCCGGAATGATTTTTTCTACAGAGATGGAATTAAGATGTTAATTTGTTGAGACACCTCATAAACCTTGACCCATTATAAAAGTTGGAATTTTACTTGAAATGATGTTGAAGTTCTGTAATTTCATCAAGCACTCTGACTCACAAAGTATTGTGCAGAGTGACGAAAGAAGGATTGAAATTCTATAGCAATTTTTATGAAGGGATTTTCAGATCGCCCTAAATTTTGGCAGGCATATCCAGTTTTTTACTTTGCGTACCGTAAGTATCAACGCAGCAGCTTTCTCTATTTTAAAGTTATATGAACAATAGACATGGTGGTTAAGAAATTAAAAAACTACAAACTCAAGATATCAAGGTGTGTGAAACACTACTAAAGGTACTTTTTTAGATTGTTTGGTGCTTCCACATTTGATATTGCCTAGAATAAAGTATACTTTTACCCAAAATCTCAACTTTGACCATCTTGACTGAATCTGCCTTTATTGAGACCTAACTGAAAATCACACCAAGCAACTTTTGGGTGGTTTTGTGGTGCCTTGTCACATTATGCAAACAATTTTGTGGCATACATGTATATCATCCAATATTTCTTTATCAAGGCCTTGTATAGATATAAAATCTATATTACTTGTTCAATATGTGAAGATTGTAGGCATGATATGGCATATGCTTTATTGTTGCAGTTATGATACGCCCAATTTGAATTCCATTCAGTATGTACATGCACAGTGTATGCAATAGTTGGATTATTTTACACAGTCTTAATATAAGAGGCCCAAATTCACAAAGGAGGTTTGTCGACAAACCTAGGCTTATGTGTGTCATATGCGTCAAACGCGTCATATGACGCACATAAACCTAGGTTTGTCAGCAAACCTCCTTTGTGAATTCCGTCCATAGTGTTCCTTGGTGTGAATAGAATTAGTATTTGAACTGGCATGTAACCAAAGAGATAGAAGTTGTGTTATCACTAAAGATTGTTATTATTGATGTTGCAATTTTGTTGGTAAAGGCTTCTTCAGATATAGCAAGGTGAGCAGCTGCAAAAAGAAGAAAAAAGCTGCCATTGTTTAAATTTAAGTGCAAATTGATGAATAGCAACTGCTTGCATCAAAGGACTTGTATACACTCACCATACTCTTTGTTATGAGATACAGAAAGGTATTGCATTTTAGTCATCATTAAAATAACTGGCTCACTTTTGCCGAGTCATATTTGAACGAGTCATATTTGAACGAGCCTTTAGACCAATATTTAGTATGGAACAGCTTTGTAGCCAGACGGTATGTCATTTAAATCCTCTGGGGAAAGGCCAGGGGGGTGTTTCACCTAGATCCTAAGTTGAACTTATCTCTAAGTTGGACTTAACAATTATGGAAAGACGTTAGCCTCTTTGAAAATATTTTGTAAAAGTTATTTTAAAAGGCACAAAATGTTGATTCAAATCATTCATATTTGCTATGATCATGGGAGATTTTGTGTTCTTGATGTGGAATTTCTGAAAAGTCTAAAATACTTAAATTTTTGCTTTTGAATTTATTTCATTAGAAGGCTACAAATGGCTCTCCATAATTTTTAAGTCCAACTTAGAGTTAAGTTCGACATATTATCTTTGTGAAACACTTTCCTGGTGTGATAACATTAGTTGTACTGAAACTGTAGAGAAAATTGGTTTATGCACTCTTGCACGATTACAGACCTTAAGACCATGTGCTACCAGTCACACATGCGATATAACATTGACAGAATAAAGTAATATAATTGTATATGAATTTATAATGAGCACGTATCTAAAAACTCTCGATCAAGGTGCAACAACGATGCAAAACTATTAGACAAACGGCTTTATATTATGTGGTACTTTTCATGTCAATAAGTTTGGATGGTTGTCCATATTAATTTGCCATATTTTCATTCTACACGTGAGGGCTGTACAAGTATCAGTCTCTACATATTCATCTCTGTGAGTTAGACGTCAGTGCATGAACATAATAAGTTAAAATCACTATAAAATCATGTAGCTTTAATTCTTGCCATAATCCATATCTTTACAAAAATCGAATGCAGATCTTATATTCTTTATCACTTTTGTGTGCATGAATTTTCTATATTTCTTGAATGTAGTATTGGATATCAGAGACAATTATATATTTTAATAACATTCAGTTTTTATCAACGCATGTGCTCAAATGGTGTTTAAGATATTCAAAATGCTTTTATTTGCAGCTATGTTTCACTGTCAGGACTATAAAGTGCAGAAACCATATTCTTTAGATATTTTACATGAACTTGAAGCGTGCCTTTAAATTGTGACAAAAATGAGATCAATTATGGTATTTTATATGCACTTATCAAAGAAATCACGCAAAAGAACAATATGACACTGAAAATGAATAAATTTGTTAAACTTTCATATTCGTATTTCTATGTTGTCTTTTATCAATATTTGATAATTAACTTTAATTAAGTGGAACACTG